GGGGGGGGGGGGGGTTGGTTGCAAATGTTTCATCGGATCAAGCGCTCTTCTGCACGTCACCAGCAAAATATTCTGGCCGAAGGTGGTGCCATCCATATGATGGAGAAGTTTCGTTGTTGCAGCGTAAAGTGGGCGCCATCTAGGAGAGGCGGTGATAGAGACGGTAATAAAGAGCTTTTGAATCGTACTACTCGATGCTATGAAAACAATCCCGTTATCCTCTGCGAGGTAGTCGAGTCCGTGAAAGGATTCTCTGCGGTCGCCTGATGATGACAGCGACGATGGATCCGTAACTTCGCTGAAGAAACCTCGTACGTTTGTGAAAAAGTGAGAATCGGGATTGAAACGTAGCTTTCAACTTAGTGAACCGGCCCATGAGCTCCAATTATATGGCGATGGTAGAAGAGTCCATAGCTCCTACGGTTCGAGTGTCAAAAGCAGCCACATATCTTCGTACATGAAAAACAGTTTTGTATCATCACGCCAGAGTGCCGTCGAAATTAGGGGCATGTGTGAGAGGCTGTGTGCTTTAAAATTAGCCACTTTGACAAAGTGTGAGGTTCTATCTGATCGCCATTATCCGGGGCAAACAAGCGGACCGGAGAATAGGGGATAAGTTGGAAAGGTTGATCATAAAATTAATGTAAGGACCTCATTGCACGACAGGTATTTTATCTGGATGACGCTTCAAATCAGCAATGAAGACTCACAGGGGACGATTTCAAAGTAAGTCGTGGGGGAATTCAGGGTTTTGAGTACAGCCATGGATCATGTCTCACCGCACCACCACGTTTACCTCATGGAAGGGCTTCTTGAAAAGGCGTTCACCTGAAGAATGAGTGGATAATCATACCTGCACACAAAGCGACAAACTGTTGTTCTACAGTATTTCTTCAACAATGTCATTTAACCTGTACCACCGCTTCGAAAGCGCGTACAGTATTAGTAGAATATAAGGACCGCATCCCTCCCAAAGAGGGACGTGGTCGGATGAGTCCTTCGACCGCCATCTACCGTAAGTGGAGGGAGCTGCCGGAGATCTCGAAACACCATCTTGGCTGTTCGGGGTAGAGCGGCGTACATATTCGGCCAGGTGTGGTGAAGAAATTGAGTGGTTCACTATTCCCCGGAATCCTAAAATGTGAGGTCGCTCTTTAGATGGCTAGTATTTATCCCAAAAAGGTTTTGCAAGCGTTTAGGACTCATTTTATGGAGAAGCAAAACGAGCGCATTCATCAAGGAATCAAACCTTGATGTCATGCCTAACAGTGCACCACATTAGCCGCTAGGCCGCCGTTGCACAGGTAAGGACTTTGCTTGGCTCAGTGATTCGTTCGTTGCAGTGGTATAACACAGTGAGGAACTGGTCCCGTAATCTTGTTCCCACAATCGTTTAGCAGATTTGGAACGCAGATTTGAGATCATCAGAACATTATTATTCGTTCCGTCTATCCAATAATTCGCTATCGCCTGGGCTGTGTCGGTGAATTTGAGGATACCACTAAGTTCAAACTCAGTTTTTTCCATACCGCATGAAACTGAACACTTCATGTGGATTCTGGCATGCGATAAGCTAAACAATAAGGAAGATTGTTGTCCCTTTTCGTTGCAACTGATGGTAAAACTCGTCTGGTCGCAATTGACTTCTCCGTGTGTCGGTTTAGGCGATCTACAAGTTACTCGCGCTACAGCTCCCTTTGAGCATTTATTGCACCCGGTCAATAACGCGTCGTCGACTCGACATATTTTTCATTCGAGAGTTCCGTTTCTAGGTTTTCATCAAGTGTCATTATGATCTTGGATGTAGCCATTGTTGGTATACGGGCTTCTACATTTCCTCTTCGTGTCC